GGGCCCCCCCCCCCCCCACGGGCCCTTAACCTAGGGTTAAGCTACCAGGCTTGTGAACAACCGGTTTCTGGTATATTGGCAATAATCTAATCTTATTTACAGCACTGAGTGCAACATACTCAATGTTGTCCCACTTGTCGCCTTTTCTTTCTTGTACGCACGCTGTCCATCACAACAAATTCATCAGCCTCAAAATCAACCCAACCCAATTCCAACTCAATTTCAATGTCCAAAGCTGCCAGCGAGGATATATAATCCAAAAATTGTTCAGCAAATTCCAAAATGTAAGCCAGCAAATGAGAAACGTTTGGTGAAGTCGACCATGATGCTCGTAACAGTTCGTTATTGTTACAGACATCGAACATGGCAAAAAGGATTCTTTCAGCATTATCCATGAAGTTTAATGTTAATTTATTTATTTGGGAACATAGCACATCATTCGCCACTTTACAAAGATTTTGGATTTTTGTTCCAGCAATACATGACACAATTTTACCTCCGCTTTGAGCCTGATAGAAGCTGTCCTATGAAAATTACACTAAGTGTTAACTTTGGACCTAAGTGGATGTTTTTCTTGCTTATCGAGGAAAATTAGAGGCTTTGAAACCATATTAACTCTACATGTATGTCACAAAATAATTATATTAAGTGTAAATCCCAATCCAAGTGTTCCAAATCCCATTTTTCCAGTAAATGTTGGTGAATCCCACTGCTATTTTACTCCTTCATAACCCCCAAAACAGTGTCCAAGGGTACATGCACAATCAAAGGTACAAAAGTGGCCACCAAATAGGCACAGTTTTAACAAACAATAAAATTTAGATAGTTTGGAGCAGATTACAGTATGAAAATTGTTATGGTGGTAAAATGTTTCTTTAAAAAATCTTGGGGGTGACTTTGACCAACTCTGCAGTCTGGATCAAGGGTGGCAGAACAGGGGGTTATTGCCCCCAGAATAAAAGTGGGGGCTAAATCCCCCAAAACGATTAAACGATCAGAGTAAGACATGATTACTGCCTAAAAGGTACATAGATACCAACGTTGTGGACAAGCAAATACGGCTAAATAATAGGTCTTGTGCAGGTTCCATTTTGCTTATTATGGAAGTTGCTACATAGGCTACAGGAAATAGCATTTCCAAGCATCAATTTTTTCAGGGCTGTGAGTACTTGTTACAATTGTAACATTTTACAGGCTACTTGTTACATTTGTTGTAATTTTGGCCTGTAACTAATTACATTTTTGAAAAAGAATGGGAAAAGGTAATTAATTACACAACAAAGGCAGACCTCTCAACTTTGCAGAGAAGTTAAGAGTGAGATTGGGGATGTGGATGACACCTTTGTAAAAGTCCGTGGCCGGGGGTCTGAAATGGCATTTCGTACATTATGAGAGTTGGTGTTTTTTAATGAAATACGTCATTGCTTCATAACGTCCTTTATTGAGACAAGGCACTATAACTGTATTTCTGTGACATACAGTAATGAGCTTTAATTTGCCTTTGATAATTTACATATAGAATTCTGCTCCGACTGATTCTGCCTTTTGTCCGCCGTATTTACATATGCGTACTATTTTGTATCCATGCAAATTGCGGGCAAAAGCCAAAATGTCGGGCCATATATGCAGGAACAATAACACGCGATTATATATTCGATTCGCAATCCGTATAATGATTAATAATGTGCATTTATTAAGAATACAATATTATATTATTGAAAAAATACTATGAAACTGCTATATGCGTGAGATTAACTAATCGTGGCGTGAGAGCGTGAGAGTGAAGCGAATTGCGTGAGACTCACGCCGAATGCGTGAGAGTTGAGAGGTCTGCAAAGGAATCGATATACCGATATTATACCAATATGGATATCGGTACTGAATTAATTACCTTTTTGAGAGAGTAATTTTGTAATTGAGGAATTCTAATTGGGAATCAAGTACTTGTAGCAAAATGTAATTAATTCATTCTTAGCAGTAATTTTGCAGCTCTGATTCTTTCTGACGGAGCATACCCACAGACTCCCTAGCTTTCAGCCCTTTCAACCCTTCACCCCTGATGACGAATTACACAAGACCGCCCAGGCGTTGACAGGTGATTACGATTCATCCAAGTTTGTTTGTCCCTTCCTTAACAATTGTACCCATAAGATACCCGATACCGAACTAAATAAGATACCCGTCAGAATTACTCCACGCACAAGACAGCGCAGTTATATAAAATCTCTTAGGCATTGCAGCACTTTGAGACCTATACAAGTGAATAAAACTGCCCCGAGTCAACCACGCTTAATTCCATGTTGCTCAGTGTTGAACGCCAGATCTATTGCAAAACCTGATGCTTTTCCTGCTTTGTGCGCAGACATTAAGTGCAATAACATAGATGTTTGTTGTATAACCGAAACATGGCTCAAACCGACTATACCTAGCTCCCTCGTTTGTCCTCCCAATTTTTCCATCATTAGAAAGGATAGAACAAACTGTGGAGGAGGAGGTGTCGCGATCTTATGCAGGAATGATTGGAGAATGCAGCTACTACC